GATACTGAGGTGGTATTGGAAATGATGCCTTCATTAACAGTTGAAGTTACATGTGGGACTGAGGGTGAAGAGGGTATACAGGAGGGTGATATTGTCACTGTTCAAGCTTGGGTGACACTCAAGCGTGGCAATGGCCTCATCAGTGCTCTACCCCATGCCCCCTATTTCCCATTTCACAAGGAAGAAAATTTCTGGTTTTTGCTTGCAGATTCTGTCTCAAATAATGTATGGTTTTCTAATAAGGTGAGCTTCATGGATGAAGCTGCAGCTATAACTGCAGCATCTAAGGCAATTGAGGAATTAATGGAGGGTTCAAGAGCAAGTGCTAAAGATACTACTGCAGCAGTTAGAGAAGCTGTAGAGAAGGTGCGGGGTGGTGCCAGATTGGTGATGGGCAAGTTCCAAGCCCCAGCAGAAGGGAGTTACAATTTAACATGTTATTGTTTGTGCGACTCATGGATAGGTTGTGACAGAAAGACAAATTTGAAGGCTAAAATCCTGAAACGAACACGTGCTGGTACTCGGGGTGGTCTAGTGCCTGATGAAGGGCCTCTTGCAGAGGATGGAGTTGAAGAGGAAGAGGAGAATGAGGAGGAAGAATACGATGATGATTATGAGAGTGAATACAGTGAAGACGAGGAAGAAGAAAAAGATACAAAAAAGAAGGGCCCTGCAGCGAATGGCATCGTGCATAAGAAAGAGTCAGATTCCGAAGTTTCAGGCTCGGATGAGGAGTGAAACAAACAAGTCCATTTATTTAAAAGATTCTGTTTTCACTTCTTTTTTTTTCTTTTTCAAAAAATTTTAACTTGGTGAACAACTCGGCCATTACAATCCCCTTTATTTTGTAGGGTTTCACAGTTTTGATACTACTGACCTGGGTTCTTAACCCCAAAATCTGTTAACTTAAAAGTTTAATTTTCAAAATGACTAGTTGGTTATTCGTTCACAACCAGATTCCCATTGTGTTGGGTGGTATAAACACCTCGACAGGTTATGGGGAGACTGCTTAAATTTTTATGGGTATGTCAAATTGC